TTCCCTAATAAAGGGAGCAATTTGGGATTGTGCTGCTGGCGGCGCGCCGGCTCTCGGGGCTGATGGGGGAAGACGGGGAGGGGGGATATAAAAGGTTTCATGCGGTGAGCCGGGCACTCAGGGAAGAGGCTGAAAGGGGGTGGTGAGTGCTTTGTATTTCATGCTTGAAGGCACTGAGGCTTTTACCAGCCTTCCCGCGATGATTTAAGACCAGCTCTGCAGTTCAGGAGGGGATCAGAGCTGTGTTTGGCAGCTCTCTGGGACCCCCCAGGTGTGCCCAGGCTTTGCTTGTCCTGGCTCAGAAATGCTCCATTATGGGCAGGGATGGACATAGGGTGTTCATGGGGCAGCTACAGAGGCACTGGGGGCATCTCCAGGACACCTGCCTGGGATGTGCTTTATGGGAGCAGTGACAAATCCCAGTCCCTGCTGTCCCTCTGCCCCTCACGTGCTCAGCACCTTGTCTGCAGCAAGAGGGGCCTCATCCATCTCTGCCCCTGGAGCTCATCCCTCCTCAGGGTGTTGATCCTGTGGAGGATGGTGGGCATGGGCTGTGGGTTCCTCTGTCACCCCCAGACCCTCCTGAGCTGAGACCTCAAAGGGAGCCCCCCAAAAGCAGATTATTGCCTCCCAGGCTGTGCAGAGGAGCAGGGAGCGTTTGCAGCCAGCTGCTCCCTGGCATGGGGATCTGGGGACAATCAGCCATGGCGCCAGGCCTGCGTGTCTGGGTGCAAGGGGTGCAGCCCACATTTTGGGGAGCTCAGAGGCTCAGCCCCATGGTTCAGCCATTTGGGTTTTGCTGTTCTCACTGGCCCCAGCAGTGTGGGCTCCATGCCCTGGGACAGGGTCCCTTGGGACCCCCAAGTGCAGCCCAGGGCAGGAACATCTCCTGCTCCCCACACTCCATCTCAGCCACTCCCTCCTGCAGCTGTCCTGTCCTGTCCCATCTCCCCAGCTGACCTGAATCCAGCCTGATCCCCCTTTCCACCCACTCGGGTCTTTGTAACCCCTGAGCAGTCAGAGCTGATTTTCTCCTCTATGAAATTTGGTTTTTTTCTCTATTTTCTCTCTTTCTTTTTTCCACTCTTAAATTCTGCCTTAAGCCAGGCCTGTGGATGCTCTTCTCCTGTGCCAAGGCTCTTGTGCCTCATCCTGGGCAAGGTGTGGATGGGAAAAGGACAAAGGATGCTGCAGGGTGGGGTGTGAGCAGCAGTGCAAGCTCCTGCCCCAGTGCTGTGCATGGCTGGGTGATGTCAGGGGGTGAGAGATGAGGCTGCAGGTCCACCTGCAGCTCTGGGGGAACTGGGAAGGAGAAGTGAAGGTGTGAGGGGTGGTCCTGCAAGGCTGGAGGTCTGGGGAATGGAGGGGAAGAGAACTCCAAACCCAGACTTGAGGGTGAGAGTGGCCAAGGATGGAGCTGCAGCAGGGATACAGGTGGGAGCATTGGCCTGAGGGTGCAGGGGAGCATCAGGGGAGCACCTTGGTTGGGGATGCACCAGGACTGGGGGTGGGAACAGTTCAGCACCGTGGGGAAAAGCTGTCTGGTATCCCCTGAGCACTGCTGGCTCCTGGAACATGGGGGCTTCAGTGCCCCCAGCTCTGGGGCAGGGCCAGAGCCACGCCTGGGATGACTCTGGAGGGAAGGAGCCCTGTTTGCCACAGCCATGCCAAGGGCTCTGTGGAGGAAATCCCAGGGGAATGAAAAGCCAGGCTGCTCCAGCCTGCTGGGAGGGCTCCCCTCCACCTCAGCCCCCCGAGTGGCTCTGCAGGGTGGGACCCAGGGACCCTCTGCGGGTGGGAACGGAGCCTGCTCAGGGGACAGGCAGAGCCGATAACCCCTGGCTGCCCTTCCTGAGCAGAGGGAGCTGCAGATAAAAGCTCTGCAGGCAGAGCAGGGCTCAGCTCCAAGCCTGGCTTGGGCTGATACCAGCCCCAAAGGGTGACCTCTCCCTTGGGCTCGGCTCAGCCCCACGGACCGGCCACCTCCCCCTCCTCACCCCAAATTCTCCCTGATTAGCAGCTTGTATCACTCTGGGAGACCTGGGAGATCCCCCAGCCTTGCCTGCCTTGCTCCTGCTCAGCTTTTGCCTCACTTTGGGGAGAAAAAAAATCTTGTTTATTATAAAACTGCAGCAATGCCCAGATCTGCTTGCAAACCCCTGCTAAAGCCTCCGGCATCGCAGGTTGGGAGGAGCTGGAGTGGGGGAGCAGCTGCTTTGGGGATTATTAATGAGCAGCAAGTGATGGGAAAGGCGAGGATCAATCGAAACAAAGGAGTTCAATGGTAAAAAGAAACGTTTGCGGAGTAATGGGAGTCCATTTCTCCAGCCGACTGTCGGAAACGCATCCTGTTAAACATCCATCAATTATCCCAGCTTGCAAATGCATTAGAGTAATGAGGAATTATCCATCAAATACACTTAAAGCCAGTGCCCCCCTCTGCCAGCCGCCCTGCAAAGAGGCACTTCAGTAAAGAAAAATAGCCTGAAGGTGGGTGGAAATTCAGGGGGGGCAGTGAGGAGGCTCTGGGGCTGCATCCTCTGGAGTCTGATGCAGCCCAGAAGATGCTTTCCCAGCTCCAGGGGCAGCTCCTGGGCTTGCTGGCTCTTTCAGAGCTGTGTTTTCTTCAGAGAGCTGTGGTGACACCACAGGCAGCCCAGGTACCTGCTCTGTGCCTCAGTTTCCCCATCCTGCTCATAGTGCTGTCTGCAGCCACCCATGGGTGCTGCTCGTGACCCTGTCACCTCTCTTCCCAGGAACAGAAGTAGTGGTGAGCGTGGCCTGTGGTAGCCAAATTCCCAGAAACTCGTGTGTCCATCACCCACACCCCTGCACCCTGGATGCTCCTGGCTCGGCAGGAGGGTGTAGGGAGCCAAAGAACCTTGCAGCCCCTTGGGATGCCAATCCCTGGGCTGGGATGGGCGCACCAAGAAGAAAATAACCGGCTCTGGAGGCAGGATCCTGCTCTGCCAGCAGGGGAAGGGAGTCTTGTAGCCCCCACGGCCCCAGCAGGGTCTGAGGGGCTGCAAGTCCAGTCTGTGTGTGCTGGGATGGGGGTTTGGAAAGTGGCTGGAGCACTGCAGGATCAGAGCAAACAGGAACGTGAGGGATGTGGCCCAACACAGCAGGGTCTGGGATTGGTGGTCCTGGCTAACTCCAAGGGTTTGATCCCTTTGGTGGTGGATTCAGGACTGCTCCAGGATTTTCCAGCCTCGGTGATGCAGCCTCGTGGCAAGCCCTGATCCGAGGTTTCGCTGCTGGGATCTGAGGGCACACATCCTCCTCCCCAGGGACAGGGCTGGATGGATCAGGGCGTTCCCCCAGCAGCAGGATCAGGGGAGTCAGGACTGCTGTGTGGTGTTCAGGTGTGGATCCTCTGATCTCTGGGGCTGTGCTTGTGGGCAGGTCCTGCCTCTCCCTGTCATTGGGAGGGGACTGAGGAGCAACAGTGGGAGCTTCTCCTGTCTGTACACCTGCCTGGTTCTCCTGGGCTCTGCATGCACCACTGGGAGTTGGAAGTGGTCAGCAGGTTCAAAAGTCCCTGGGAGGAGACAAAAGGACAAAATTCTGGCACATCACAGCCAGTGTTCCTGTAAGGAATCGGGCGAAAAACAACTCCTGGGCTTGGCTTTCCCAGGGCTGATGTTTCCATCTCCCAGACCCCTCTGGAGCCCTGTCCAGGCCCAGGAATACCAGCCTGGACTGGGAGCAGAGCATCCCTTGGTCTGCAGTTCCACGGTGAGATGAGCCTTCCTGGGAGAGCGCTGCGCCTGATAACAGCAACTGCCATTAGGTGTCACAAGAGCATCAGGTCTTTGCTCTTCCTGGGAGGATGAGCAGCGGTGCAGGACAGGAGGATGGGGTGCTGATGTGGCCTTTGGAGTGGCACCTTGGTGACAGAGACGGCCCAGGCAGGGGAGATGAGCTCTGGCTGCTGGGAGGGCACCACGTGTCCTTTGTGATATCCCAGCGTGGTGACCACCCTGGAGGTCACCATCCTTCTGCCCCCAGCTGATCCCTTCCATCACCTCCGGGTGTCCTGCCCTAGTGCTGGGGACAGGCAGGAGGTGGCACCAGGTTCCTTCTGTCCCTTCAATAACCCGCTGTGTTTTATTGCACGGAAGCAAAGGGAGCAGCCAGTGCTGGTGCCCTGCTCAGCATCGCAGCTGCCACTGCAGCCCGTGGCCTCCAATGTCTCCCCAGGGCCCAGGAGAAGCCCAGAGCTGAGACTTCTTTGAGAAACAGAACGTTCCTCCCCGTTAGGATGTATCCAGCTGTGGAGGGTGAGGACACAGCTGGGCAGGCTCTGGGTGTTCACCTACAGAGGGATGGCTGCTCTGGGATTTGTCCCCTCCTGGGATTCCCACTCCTAGCCCCATGCCACCTCCCATTGCCCCACACCAGGGGCAGGTGCCATGCTCAGATAATCTTCCAGGATTCTGCAATTCTTCCCCGAAACGCCGTTTGCCTCTTTCATTTTGCAACGCGACCAGCAACAATGCAGCGTCCGAGGCTCAGCGCCTTGATAAGGCGCCAGTGGGAAAAGCCATTCTCTCCTCTGCAACGCCTGTCACGAATCTGCAGCGAGCTGATAAAGCCTAAAACACACCGGCTGCCCTGGGGGAAGGAGCGGAGCAGGAGCCGCCCCCGGGAGGATCTCCCGGTCCCTGCCGGTGGCCGAGCGGCAGACCCGGAGCGCTGGGCTGGGACTCCCGGCCCCGGGTGACCTCTCAGCATCGCGTCACCTCTTCCCTCTTGGAGGAGCTGAGTTCATGTCTGCCCTTCCCGGAGCTGGGGATCGCTCCTGCCCTGCCTGCCCCGTGTGCCGGGCTGGCCGCAGCATCGCGGCGGGGCTCGGCCGGGCTGGGTGGGCACTGCCGGTGCCCCGGGCGCTCCGCGGGTGGAACGGGGAGTCCCGGGCACTGTGCACCCCAAAGGCCGAGGTGCCGGGCTCGCAGCTCCAGGCCCGGAGGCACGGCCAGGGGCTGGCGGCACGGGGATGCTTTCCCGGTGACTCACAGCGTTCCTGGCCGGTCAGCGGCGGCCGCAGGACACCCCGGCAGCGCTCTGCCCCGGCCTCTGCCTGAACTCCGCTGGCAAAGCAATCCCCCCCGCCAGATGCGGGGTTCCTCGGCCCGCTGTCCCCCCGGCTGAGAGGATGGGGACAGGGCACAGAGCTCACGGCAGGAGCTGCGCTGACCTCTCCGTGGCCTGGGCGCTTCCTCCTCTGCCAGTTCTGCAGAACCCCCAAGAGGAACGGGCTCGCCACAAACAGCCCTGGTGCAGCCCCGACTCTGAGCACTGCCCCAGCTCTGTCCAGCTCTGTGACTCAGTTTCCCTTTGTTGAGGTGAGGAGAAGCAGTGCAGACCCCTCTGATGCACAGAGAGGGTTCCCACCGCTTCTCCCCAGCAGCTCTTTTTGGGAACATCCCAGCCCATCTACTGCTTGGATTTCCCCCCGCCCAAAGAATTTCCCTTTATATTTTCAGCTTCAGCCCTTTGAATCCGCTCCTGGCTTCCCTCAGGGCGCTTCCCCAGCACCATTCTGCATCGTTCTGCATCCCACCACCTGCAGCCATCCTGCTATGTTGCCATGAGTGGGTCAGTTCTCCGCAGGCGGGACCGGGACCGGGAGCGGGGCAGGATGAGTGCGGGGACCGGAGCTGGCAGCAGCCAAGTGGCCCGTGGTGGCCGTGGCCCGCCCGGTGCTCAGCACGCAGGAATGCCGTGAGCTTGCAAAGTGGTTTCAGCGAGACGTTATCTAATGGAGGAGGAGGAGAAGGGTGGATTAAGCCAAACCCACAGCACCGGCTTTCAATTAAACCAAGTGAATTTACGGCTTCTCCTGACACGGTAAACACACGCTGGCGGGGTCCTGACCCGGCGTTTCCCCTCCGTGGCCCGGCAGGCAGGGGGAGCAGCCTCCCCTCCCGCGGGTGCTGTCCCGTGGCAGCGAGGAGGAGCCCTCCGGGCTGGGCTCTGCATCATCCATCACCACGCAAAGGGCTGGAAATGCGGTGATGCTGCAGCGGCACAGCCCCAGAGCTGTCCCACCTCGGGTGCAGGGATGGGGGACTGATGGAAGCCTGGGAACATCCCCTGCCTGGGAGTGATGGTAAAACAGCAGCACCCAGGATGGAGGGTGCTGCGGTCCCATGGGTGGGTGATGCTCACTGACCTTCCCTTCCCTCGGCAGCTTCACTCCATGTCCCTGCATCCCTCCTGCCATGCCCGTGCCTCAGTTTCACCCGGGAGCAGGGAAGGCTCCAGGGTGTGGCAGCAGAAGAGTGAGCTGAGCAAGCTGGATGAGCCAAGACAGGATCTCACAACCAGGGCCAGGAGCTTCCTGGTGGCACTGCAGACCAGGGCTGGGTGAGAGGTGCTCCAGCACGTGTGCCAGGGCATGCCTGGAGCCCTCTGCCATCCACCTCTGCTGCCTGAGCCGGCGAGTCAGCAGCAACCCCTCACCCCTGCTGTGCTGCCAAGGGTTCCAGTGAGGCCAGGGACCCACCTGAAGACCCACAGCCCTTTTGGCCATGTCAGAGGAGCCCTGGGCATCTGTTGGCACCTGGCTGTGGGAGGTGAGGCTTTGGGTCAGTGGCACTGTGAGCGGTGCATCCTCCCAGCCCTGCTGGCCACAGCAGCACCCCGGATGCAGGCACCTGGCCAGGGCTGCTGGGGTGACGTCCTGGCACCGCTGCTGACGTCCAGCAGAAGGAAAAGCCCTCCCTAGAGCAAATACACATCGGGGCTGTGCAAACCCAGCTCGGCGGGTGGCTCTGGGCAGGTATCTAGGTCCCATCTGGCCGCTGTTTACCTGTCTGCTGGAATCCACCCTGCAAACTTCCTCCTTGGATGGGCCAAGGAGCCCAGCTCGGCCATTCCAGCCGCGCAGGGAGGACCCTGGAACTCCAGAGCCTGATGGTGATCCTTTGCCCTGCACAGGGTAGTGCAGAGTGGATCCCAGTGGGGCTTGGGAGGATCTGAGCACCAGCCCCTGCCAGGTTTCCAAGCCCACAGCCAAACCCTGTTAGCACCAGCCCGGCTCCACGCAGCTCCCAGAGCTGCAAACCAGCAGCATCCAGGGAGCAGGCAGGACTGCTGGGTCTCTTTCCAGAAGGGTTCAGAAAAGTCATGGCATTCCCACCACTGCCTCAGTTTCCCCCTCAGCCTGTCCCTCCCTGACCCGTGGTGGTGGCTCCTGCAGCGTGCAGGGACCTGCCACCACGCAGGGAAGGGACCGTGCTGGGTACACCTGACTGAGGCAGGACCTGCCTGCCACTCCCCTCCAAAGGCAGATTTCATTGCTCAGGGCTGCATTTCAGTGTCATTTCCTGGCACAGGGGGACCAAGAACCCCCCAACCCGCTCCTGTCCCATCCTGCACCTTGCACTGAGGTCCTCCATCCACCCAGGGACAGGGGGACCAGAGAGTGCACGGCCACAGGTGCAGCTCCTGGTTCAGCACAGCTCAGGAGCCCTTTCCTGGGCGCTCCCAAGGTGGTGAAGGAGCCCCCACTTCTCCTCAGCCCCCCAGTCCTGCAAAGGGAACCTCCAGCACAGCCCTCAGTGCTCGGATGGATGATGGATGGATGGGGGATGGATGGATGGATGGATGGATGGATGGATGGATGGATGGATGGATGGATGATGGATGGATGGATGGATGGATGGATGGATGGATGGATGATGGATGGATGGATGGATGGATGGATGGATGGATGGATGGATGGATGATGGATGGATGGATGGATGGATGGATGGATGGATGGATGGATGATGGATGGATGGATGGATGGATGGATGGATGGATGGATGATGGATGGATGGATGGATGATGGATGGATGGATGGGTGGATGGATGATGGGTGGGTGGATGCATGGATGCATGGATGGATGGATGATGGATGGATGGATGATGGATGGATGGATGGATGGATGGATGGATGGATGGATGGATGGATGGATGGATGATGGATGATGGATGGATGGATGGGGGATGGATGGATGATGGATGGATGATGGATGCATGGATGGATGGATGATGGATGGATGGATGATGGATGGATGATGGATGATGGATGGATGGATGGGGGATGGATGGATGGATGGATGATGGATGGATGGACAGATGGATGGATGGACAGATGGATGGATGGATGGATGGATGGATGGATGGATGGATGGATGGATGATGGATGGATGGATGGATGGATGGATGGATGGATGGATGATGGATGATGGATGGATGGATGGATGATGGATGGATGGATGATGGATGGATGGATGATGGATGGATGGGGGATGGATGGATGATGGATGGATGGATGGATGGATGGATGGATGGATGGATGGATGATGGATGGATGGATGATGGATGGATGGATGGATGGATGGATGGATGGATGGATGGATGGATGGGGGATGGATGGATGGATGGATGGATGGAGGATGGATGGGGGATGGATGGATGCACAGTGAGGCTGAGGCCCAATCCATTGTATTACACCTTGCAGTGTGCATATCCATATCCACATATCCACCTCACTAACCCTCACTCTTGCTGTACTCAGGGCTGTGCTCCCACTTTGGAAAGGGGGGAAACTGAGGCAGGGAAGGCAGGGGATGGAAGCTGGGCGGGAAGGATGGTGACAGAGCAGGGAGTGAGCCCGGCCCCCGCCCTGTGCCCGCGTTGTGAAAGCAGCTGGTTATCAGAGCGCGGGCGTCACGCTGCAGCCAGCGGCTTCCAGGAAAGGAAGGAAGTGTGGGGTCACCCAGCCCCGCTGCCGCCCTTTTCCAGCAAACAGCCCCAGCCTGCTGATAATGGGGCCTTGCCATGGCCACCCAGGAATTCGGAGCCGATGGCCACACGTGCTGCCCTAAATGCAGGATTTTCCCCCTGTTTCCTCTCCCACAAAAGCAAGAGACAGTGCTGGGGCAGCAGGGGATGGTGCTGATGCCACCTGACTCCTGTGCTGGGTACAGAGCAGCATCCATCAGCAGTAGCCCAGTTCCTGACTCCTGTGCCGGGTACAGAGCAGCATCCATCAGCAGTAGCCCAGTTCCACCCCAGGGACTCTTACTGGTAGGAACTGGGAGTCACTGGGCTGGGTTTGCTCCTGCGCCGTGCCAGGGCTGTGGGAAGGCGCTCTGGGATGTGTTTCTCGCTGGGCTGCCCCAGCACAAAGTGGATAATCCCTAACCCCGGAGCAAGGCTGGATGGGAATGTGGGGTGTGATGGGGAGCTGCTGCTCCCACACGCATGGGCCTCTCCCAGCACCTCGCACTGGACACTGAGCTGGAGTTACAACACTGGAGAGCACAAACCAGTAGGACACTGGGCAGTCCCACCACAGTAACTGGTGCCCTGCAGCAGCAGCCAGGCAGGATCCCACCCCTGACACCATCCTGCCGTGCAAAGTGGCCCAGGAGGAAGCAGGAGCCCGGAGCCTGCTCCTCCCCGATACTGGGAATAATTACATGATTATGAGATTTGGAAGCAAAGTGCAGATTAATCTCTGATCTTGTTAGTCCGTGTTCTACCATCTGCTTTGTGCAGGCAGGAGAAGCCCTCGTCCCACGCTGGGGAAAGGCAGTGGCAACCCCCGGGGAGAGGCGAGTCCCACAGAGCAGTGGGTGCTTTAGGAAACGGGTGGATGGGAGCTGGGCACATCAGGACATGATGCCACCCCAGGCACCAGCTGGCACGCACAGCCGCCCCCACAGCCCCGATTCCTGGAAGCCAGCCTGGATCCGGCTCGGCATGGGCCGCCCTGCGCTGGGACTCCTCCTTTGGCCAACAAGGGCAGGTGACAGCGATGACGATGGCCCGGGGGGTGCTGCTGGGAGGGAGATGGAGGAGTTCAAACCGCAGGGAGAGGTTTATAATTGTCCGGGTGGGATACAGAGATAGAGAGGAGGGACAGAATGCAGCGGGTCTGTGGCAGAGGATGGGACGGTCCCAGAATCTCATGGGTTCCTCAGGGGCTCCCCCCTTCTCCTCCACTCAGGAGGTTTTTGCCAAACAGGGAGGGCAAGACCTGCCTTTTATTGTGCTTGTGCCAGGAGATTTTTTTCCTGCTGCAGCAGCCAGGTGTAGAGCCAGGCCCAGCCTTTGCAGCAGTGTCAGCTCTGAGATGGGGATGGGTTTCCAGTGGGATCTCTCCAGGATGGGACAGCACCAGTCCAGGTCACTCTGGCACTCGGAGCTCTCTAGGGTGACTCTGGGACAGTGACCTGTACCCAGGCACCTCCGTGTCACCAGCTGGGCTGCCCTGAGAGCTGGTACCTGTGTGCCGTGGGTGTTGTGGGGTGTGGGGGTGCCCCTCTGCCCCCTCGCCCTCGCCTGTGGCAGGGCTCGGTGACCGCTGAGCTGCACAAGGGGACAAACTCCCCACCCATCGCCCATCCCGGGGGTCGCCGCTGTGACCTGGCCAGCCCACCTCCAACCTTCCACTCCGCGTGGGGATTCAGCCTCCTCCAGCTCGGAAGCAGCATCCATCCCTGCAGGAGCCTCCCGGGAAGCTCCTCTTTGCCAGCTGCAGACAAAACCGCTCCTGCTCTCCCCACGGCCCGTGTCGGCAGAGGCCCGGCAGAAGATGAAAGGGATTTCCCGGCTGACCTCCTCACCCCGCACTATTTGCACCTCCTTTCCCGCACGCAGACAGGCATTTTTCCCATGCTCGGGGGGTCAGGGCCCTCCCTGCACTTCGGGACGGAGCAATGCCAGGAATGTACCTGGGAATAGGCAGGGTTTTGCAGGGTGGAGGGGGAAGAGGAGAGCTGAGCACCCTCCTGTCCGCAGTTAGCCACCAACACTTGTTCCAGGGCCATTAAAAAGTGCTTTTTTTGTGCAAATGCTCTGCAGGAAGAAACCTGTTAAGCGGGGCAGGTGGGGCTGCACTCAGCTGGAGCCTCGGGCACGGATGAATTTTTTGTCCCCCCAGTGGTGCCAGTCCCTGGTGCTGTCACTGGGCCAGGTCCGAACCCCCAGGCACGGTCAGGGGGCTCACCTGGGCCAACAGTGCGGGTGCACCAGTTCAGCCTCCTCCAAACAGCACCCAGCTGATTCCAGCCTTCCCCTTGCCCTTTCATCCCCTTTCTGGGGTGGAATTTGCCAATTTCCCCACTCCAGCCTCACAGGGGCTTCCTGGCCGCTCCCCGTGCCTCAGTTTCCCCGGGTTAAATCAGGGAGAACAGCCCCTGCAAGTGGAGCCCAGCTGCCCAGAGCACATTCCAGCGTCTCTGTCATTATCCCAGGGTGCAGAGCCGGGTTGGATCCTAGAGTTTCCCTGGGCCCAGCTTGGAGGCTGCTCTTCCACCCTGCAACAATCCCTTCCCAGCCATCCTAAGATGATATGGGATAACACAGGAGAAATGTGGTGCCCTTTACTGCTCCCCACCTTGACCTTGCATCACCCAGGATAACAATAAAGGGGAAATGAAAATGAAGTGTTTTGGTACACAACCTGGGCTCCAGCTCAGGAGGTGGTGGGATGATGCCAGGAGATGCCCAGGCCCAGGGTTTGCTCCCATCACTCAGCAGGGTACAAGCCCCAGGCCCGGGCACTGTCCCCAGTGGGGCACTGTGTCCCCTCCCCACTCCTTATATCCCTTCTCCCTGTTCTTTCTGCAGGGGGTGACACAAACCCTCTCATGGATTCTGCCTGTGCACGGGGATGATGTGGGTGTCTGCAGCTCAGGGTGAGTGACAGAAGGGTGGGAAACCTCCTGGGGCCACAGGAGGACAGCGTGGGGAAGCCAGGCCGGGCACCCAGGACACGCCACGTGTGCCAGGGACCGGCTGCTGGGACCCCGCTGATGCTGGGGAGAAAATCTCTCAGGGGATGAGGGGGATCACCCCGCTGTGCTCTCGGGGAAGGGATGTGGGTGGCACATCCACCACCCCACCATCACCCCGATGCATCCCACTTTCCCCTGCTGCTCTCAGCAGGAGGGTTTGCTTGTAAACAGCAGCCCCTGGGTAACACTTCTAATCCCTCTCTTGGCTATTATGCATCCCCAGCTAACCTTAAAGCCTCCCCCTTTTTCTCTGCGAGGCACCCCCAGAGCAGAGGAAATTCCTCAGCCCTGACGTGATGTGAAACACGAGCGGCTCGGCCCCAGCCGCCCCCTTCCCTGCCCCAACCTACCCGGGCCATTTCCCAACCCAGGTTTCCCTGTAGCATCCCACTCCCCCCGCCACCCCCCAGCTCTTTTTTTTTTTTTTTCCTCTTTCTTTCCCCAACCACCCTTTTCTGCTTTAGACATTGTAACCCGAGAGGCTGGAAATGCAGCTCCTTTCATCTTCCATTTCCCACATCCTGAGAGTCTGGGGAGAAGGAGCCCACCCAGATGATGGAATCCCAAATATGCGGCTCCTTCCACCTCCCCGATCCCCTCCGCCGCCCCCTGTGAGGCTCTATTCACAAAGCAGATTAGCCATGCTGCCGCCTCCCCGCACACCTCGCCCCAAAAAGCCCGCGAAAAAGCCAACACACAAAAAAACCCCAAAACAACCAAAAAAAAAAAAAAAAAAAGGAAAAAAACCCAAACCAAAATCAACAAACAAAAACCACAAAACAACAAAAAACCCAAAAACATTTACAATTATTAAGAAGAAATCGCCACGGCTGCTCCTGCCGGGGAACAGGATGGGTCCCACCATCTCCTGCCCCACTCCCAGGTCCCATCACTGTCCAGTGGGAGTTGGCACCCAAAGTCCTGTGGGGGGCTCAGGGGGTTTTGGGGAGCTGCAGCAAAAAGTCCAGCCAGGACCTTTCTCCTCCCTGTGCCCCAGGATGTGGCGTGTGGTCCCCAAGCTGTCACCGCTGCCTTGTGGTCCCAGCTGGGTCTGGGGGGATGCTGAGGATGAGGAGAGGAGGGAAAGCAGCACTCATGATCCAAACCCACGGGAGCCCAGCCCTCCTCCCTCTCTCGGGGGACACTGTGCACCCCAGGATCAGTCTCATCCTGCAGGGATGTCCCCGACCCACACTGCCACACGAGGAACACGCACACGTTTTATTATTTTATTGCATTGCCACATGTGAGACCCCAGAGCACCTTCCTGTGGCTGTAGGGTGACTTTGAGCACCCCGCACACACTGGGGGTGTCCCAGCGGTGGCACACACTGCTGGGCGAGGGCAGTGCCCGCTCCCCGGCCGGTGCCACCAGGGATTGCTCACTGCCTGCAGGTGGGAGCATCCTCAATCCCCGACTCCACTCCGGGCTCCCACTGCCAGGCTGGGAGAAGCCCTGGGCGGGCAAAGGGCTCGGTGCCCTCCTCGTGGGGGAGTGGGCATCGCTGAGAGCCTCAAATCCCCTTTTCCCACGTTCTATCAGGGCCGGGTGGCCGTCAGAGCATCGGGAAGAGATGAGGAAGGGTTCGGGCTTCCCCCGGGGACCCGCAGGTCGGTGCCACGCTTCGCCCCACGCCCTGGGCCAGCCGGTTCCACGGGCGACCGAGCCCGAGCCGCGGGAGCCGCGGGCAGACCTGCCAAGGTCACACAGTGACTCAAAGCTGCTGGTGGAGAACCACAGGCCTCGTGTGTCACGGCATTCCCGCATCCTCCTGGCCCCGCATCCTCCCGCATCCTCCCGGCCCCGCCTCCTCCCGGCCCCGCATCCTCCCGCATCCTCCCGCTCCCGCATCCTCCCGGCCCCGCATCCTCCCGGCCCCGCATCCTCCCACTCCCGCATCCTCCCGCTCCCGCATCCGCCGGGGGATGCTCGTGGGGCTTCTCCCCGCGCTCCCGGCGGGGCATTGACCTTGCTGGTTTGTTCCAGGACACCAGTGCAAACCTGAATTATCACCCCTCACCCCAGGCCTTGCTGGGGAGCCTCTCTCTCCCCGCTGGTATCGCCCGGCCCTCCCCGTTTTCACCTATTTGCTAATTGTGCTGGCGGGGAAGGCGAGGGGGAGGAAATACAAAAAGTAAACTGCGAAAGCAACACTGCAGCTCCAAGGGCCCAGCACAGCAATCAAGCGATAAAGCAGTAATTAAGCCTGATTATCATGCAAGGCAGCCCCGGTTAGACTGGAATGCCGCTGAAGAGCCTGAAAGCTGCCGGGATTGTTTGCAGGGCTCAGAACCGATCTTTTGATGTCTGCTGGGAGCTCCTCTCCCCCAGACCTGCCATCAGCTCCATATGCCACCCCAGGGTCCTGTTTCTCTCCAGGCATGGCCCTGGTTGGGTTTTTCCTCCTTGCAGAGTCTCCTCTGGGCTGCAAACTGCTCCCCGAGGGCTCAGGGCAAGAACTGGGGCTGCTCCAGGGATGGCCAGGGGCAGGACCCGCAGGACATCCCCGTGTCCCTGCAAGGGCAGGGCGTGCTGTGGATGTGGGCTGCTCCCCTGCCCCCACCATCCTCGGCGGCTTTGGTCCCAGGGGAAGAGGGCTGGGGAAAGAAGGGATCCCCAGGGATGAGGGCCAAGTGGGTGAGAGCAACAGGATGGGGTTTGTTTCATTTCAGTTTGAATGTGTGACACATCCCCATGGCCTCACCCGGGCTGGCAGGGGAAAGGTGAGCGCGTGGAAAGGGCTGAGGGTGACTCCTGGCCCTGCTTTGGGGTCATTTTGGGAACGGGAATGCACCTGGGTGGGTTAATCTGGAAAGAGATGGATATGGCCGGGAAGCGTGGCTGCCTCGCAGGACACGGAGCAGGGAGCTCCCCTCGCCTGCCAGGAGGGGTTTCCCGGATCCAAGGGCCAGCAGGAAGAGACGGCCGCTGACTCAGGGGCAAAGGAGCAGCTGGGCAGGTTTGGGTTTACACACCAGGATGATTTGGGCCCCAGCTCATCCCGGCTGCAAGACACGCTGCTCCCTCCGACGCTAATGAGCAGGTTTGGGCAGAGCTGCTTCTCCCGAGGAGTCAGGGATGGGCAGCCCCGGGAAAGCCCGGCCGCTCCGGGCAAGCTCTGTTTGTCAACAGGTTTCCAGGGCAGCTCCTTCGATGCCTTTCATCATCCTGGCAAAGAATTTGATAATGAGTTCGGGGCCAAATGCTAAGTCACCTCATCCCACGGCTGAGCAGCGACTGGCAGAACCAGTTGTCCCAAATGTGCCCTGGCGTCGGGTGGGAATAAGGCAGGAGAAAGGCGCTGCCTGCCCCTCTGCCCCACTCTCAGCTTGCATCACCTCGCATTGCAACAACAATATATTAAAAAATATTTTCAACAATTGTATATTTTAAACAAAGAGGAATGGAAGCACTGCATCAGATTCTCCACACATTTCCCTAGACAAAAATGTCACTTTCTGGGTAAAACAGAAGGTAGATTTTCCAGTTTTTGTTTGGCTCAGGTCCTAAAAGAGGATGTGTCACATTCTGGGTAAATCTAAAAGCGGCAGTGGTGGTGGTGAGTCCTTCCCGGCCAGTGCGAGGGCTGGGCCGCAGCTCCAAACCCCATTTTGGGGGTGCATCTTGGTTCTATTTAATCCTTTTTTTTTAACACTAAACGGGACAGGATCTCACAAGCATTTCCAGTAAACCCCATTCGATTTCATGCAATTCATGCCACAAGTATGTGTGGGATGCCAGGAACTTGCTTAGGAGCAGGAACCCAGATGGGCTTTGTCTGGAATAATTCAGCTCCCAGTGGCTGGAGCTCTTTGCTCCAAATGCTAATAGAGTGAGTAATCAGAGATCTCCATCCAGTAAATTATTTATCTTATCTCTGGAACTCGGGGAGGCATCTCAGCCAGCGACTTCTGCGGAAAAAAGACACGGTGGTGGGGGGAACGTAAAAAAATAAGGATGTTAGTGAAGAGCCCGCAGCTGGAAGGGCCGCACGGCCAGTTTTACTGGGAAGGGGAGAAGTTCGGGCGCTGCGGGGTGCGGGGCGGTGCGGGGCCGTGAGGGGCGGTGCGGGGCCGTGAGGGGCCGTGCGGGGCGGTGCGGGGCCGTGAGGGGCCGTGCGGGGCCGTGCGGGGCGGTGCGGGGCCGTGAGGGGCCGTGAGAGGCCGTGAGGGGCCGTGAGGGGCGTTGCGGGGCCGTGAGGGGCCGCCGCGGTTCGCGGGCAGCGCCGGTAGCGCGGCGGGGGCGGGGCGGGGGCGTGGCCCGGTGACCGCGCGGCCCGCGCGCGCCGCCGCCGCGCCCGCTCCCCATTGGCCGCCGTGCGGCGGAGGGGGCGTGGCTCCGCGCCGCAGCCCCGCCCCCGGGCGTGCGGCCCCGCCCCCGGGCCCTGCGGCTGGCGGGGCCGGCGGGGGCCGCGCGCCACACGCGGCCGGGCCTCGCGCGGAGCGGCCGCTCGCGCGCGCTCCCCGCCCGCTCCCGCCCCGCGCGCGCGCCGCCCTCACAGCCCTGCCCGGCCCTGCCCGGCGCGGAGTGGAGCCGCAGGTGCCGCCACCGGCCCCGCCACCGGCATGCTGCTCTCCAAAATCACCTCGCTGGCGCATCTCCGCTCCGGGACCGCCGGCGAGCTGCACCCCGCCAAGCTACAGCCAGGTCAGCGACGCCCGTCCCCGGGGTGCCCGTCCCGACTCGGGGCCGGCCGGGGCAGCGGGCGGAGCGCTGACGGGCGGGTCTGGTCCACAGGGAAGGAGAAGGAGCCGCTGGAGCAGCTGTACCGGGTGGGCCCGTTGCTGGGGAGCGGCGGCTTCGGCAGCGTTTACTCGGGGATCCGCCTCTCGGACGGCGCCCCGGTAAGTGGCGGGGCCGGCGGCGGGCGGAGCAGGAGGGGGCTCGGCGGGGCGGGCGCCGAGCTCAGCCCGCCGTTCCCTTGGCTCGCAGGTGGCGATCAAACGCGTGGCCCGGGACCGCATCTCGCAGTGGGGCGAGCTGGTGAGTGAGCGGGGCCAGCGGGAGAACCCGAGGCGTGACGGGCGGGGATGAGCAGAGACACGCGGGAGGGTGGAAACCGGGACGGCGCGGGGGGAGCGGCTGTGGGGTCACCGGGGGACGCGGCGCAGCCCGGGCCGGGGAATGCCCAGCGCCGGTGGGGGCGGGCGGGAGGACACCGGGATGCCCGGGACCGACGGGAGCGGGCAGGGAAACACCGGAGCATCCCCTGGGCGGGGGGATGCCCGCGACCGGTGGGTGCGGGGAAGGGGACACCAGGGCTTGCCGCGGGCGAGGGGAGCTCAGCCCCGCTGATGGCAGCGTGGTCGCCCCGCAGCCCAGCGGCAGCCGTGTGCCTCTGGAGATCGTGCTTCTGAACAAGGTGGGCTCTGGCTTCCACGGCGTCATCCAGCTCCTGGACTGGTTCGAGCTCCCGGACAGCTTCGTGGTGGTGATGGAGCGTCCGGAGTCGTCGCAGGACCTCTTTGACTTCATCACGGAGCGGGGGTTCCTGCCGGAGGAGATGGCGCGGGGGCTGTTCCGCCAGGTGCTGGAGGCCGTGCGGCACTGCAACAACTGCGGCGTCCTGCACCGCGACATCAAGGACGAGAACATCCTGCTCGACCTGGCCACGGGCGAGCTCAAGCTCATCGACTTCGGCTCCGGCACCTTTCTCAAGGACACGCTCTACACGCAGTTTGACGGTGAGCCCACAGCCGGGTGCACTCCCGGTGCCGGGCGTTGCGCGGCCGGGCCGGGCTCCGGAGGTTCCCCGTGGCGGGGGGGGACGGCATGAATTCTACAGCTGCTGCCAAGTTGCTGTTTGGCACGGGGAGGATGTTGTGAAACGGGAGCCGGCTCCCGGCCCTGCTGACAGCCTCCAGCCTCCGTCACCCAGCCTGGCTCGGGCTGGGGCGGGGGAAGCCAGCGTGACAAAAACACCTTGGGGAGGGGGGAGCAGAGGGGGGTTTGCTTTGCAGGTGCGGAAGGGCGGCTGGGGCTTCTCCTCTCCCCTTGTTTGCCTTGGTTTATAATTTTAAATTTTTTTGCCATTGCGGGGGAGTGGGGGGGGAAAGGCGTGGTTTTTCCCCACCCGTAGGTGGGTTTTTTTCCTCGCATGTAACGGCCGGGCCTTCCCCGGGCCTTGCTGCCCTCTTCTGGCACTGGCGCTTCCCTTTTACAACCCAAAGTTTGTAAACAAGAGTCACGTGCTGGCGGGAAGGCGGGCGGGTCACGCCGGTGCCGGCGGCGGCCGGGGATGCTCGGGCGGCCCGGGATGGCCAGGGATGCTCGGGCGGGGGCCTGATGTGCTCCTGTGTCCGCAGGAACGCGGGTGTACAGCCCCCCGGAGTGGATCCGCTTCCACCGCTACCACGGCCACTCAGCCACCATCTGGTCGCTGGGAGTCCTGCTCTATAACATGGTGTGTGGGGACGTCCCCTTCGAGCAGGACGAGGACATCATCCGGGGACAGCTCTTCTTCCGACGGCGCATCTCTCTCGGTGGGTACCCGGCTCTGGGGTGCTGGGTTGGGATAATGGGCTGGGGGAGGCAGCAGGGAGGGTGGCTGGAGGAGGTGGCACGTGTGCTGCCAGCCTGCTCTGCTCCCAAGCACAGGGTGGAAGGGGTGGGCTGGGCACAGCTCGGGCACAGCTCGGGCACAGGGTGGACGGGAGCTGCTCTGACTGACCGCTGCTGCTGCTGCTGTCTCCCCAGAGTGCCAGCACCTCATCAAGTGGTGCTTGTCCATGCGCCCCTCGGACAGGCCGTCGTTGGAAGACATTTTCAACCATTCTTGGCTGCAGGATATTCACCTGGAACCAGCTGAGATCCACCTGCACAGTTTGATCCAGGAGCCTGACAAGTAACAACTGCATGCAGCTCCTGGTCATAAGAAGCAAAGAAAACCAGACTTTTTCATCTTGACCATAGCAATGAGCAGGGATCCTCAGATGTTCTCAGATGGGAACGAGCACATCTTGCCCTGGAGCTGGGCTGAGGACCTGCTCTTCCAAGTTCTGGTAGCCACCATCCAAGCCAGCTGTCCTGGACTCCATCTGAACAACTTTGTCTCTTCTGAGATTTTACCAATAATTTTTTTTGGACTGGTTTTGGAGGCTCTCAAGTGTCATCTTGACCTGCTGAATTGGATGACCTGACTGCAAGAAAAGCTTCAATGGGGGAAAACTGTGGGGAGGGCAGGGCCTGTGGCAAACTGGCTGTCCCTTCTCCCTGTCCCTTCTCCCTGTCCCCGTGCTTGTGTGCCTTCTGTTTGATCTGAGCTGTACTGGAGGAAAGACTTGACTTTTCCTGCAGTGCTGCTTTTCTGAGACTCGCCTGGGCCTATAGTTCCTTTACCCTTTTAAAAAAGGAAATGGGTCAGAAGATGCTTGGGAACCAAGTGGGTTATGCCTCGCCTCCTGTGCCTCCATCCCACACGGGTTTTCTGGGGTTCTTTGCTTTTCTGTGCCCTCACGAATGCACAAACAATGCAAACCAACAGCTGTAAATGTGTACATAGTTCTACAGGAGCAAAGCTTGATGTACAGTTGTGAATAGTGATAACATTTTGCCTTTTTTCTCATTTCCAGTTTTTGTTTTTAATTTATTTTCATAAATTTGTTGTTTGTTTGTTTTTAAAGGAAGTGTTCTAGCCGCTAGGATAACTTATTTATTTATTTATAATCCATGTGGGTTTCCAGCCCATGCCTTGCTTCTACAGCTGCTGATCCCCCGGTTTTCCATTCGGGTTTTCCCTCTGTTTCTGTCCTGTGTCCATCCCCGGGCCCATTGTGTTTCCATTGGATGTTTGGTGGAGGTGTGGGGTGGCTGCTTCTCCCCAGCTGTCTGTGTACATAGTTGTGGGTGCTGTTCTTTCCTTGCCACATGCAGATCTCAGTTTGCAGATGAATTTGGGTTTTTCCACGGGTGTCTGGTTTTTTGGGCTGGGGAGGGGGGTCTGGCCCAGGCTGTCTGCACTGTCCAGTCTGTACCTGTAACCAAGTGTGTAGCCGGCGGGTTTTGTTAATAGTTAAAATTGTACAGGGGAATTGAGAAATCTTATTTTTTTTATGCGGTTTTAAATAAAAACAAAACACTTGCTGTGATGGAGACATTCCTTTGTTGCGGGGTGGGGTGGAGGATATGCTGTGAGTTGTGGGGTACCAGTGACCACACCATGGCTACTCCAGGCACCTTGTCTCCAGCCAGACTTGACTCCAAAGATCCCACCCCAGCACCAACTGGGACCAGCCTGTCAAAAGCACCGCGGGGACAGCCGGATCCATCCCTCTACGGGGTGTTTCCAGAGCTGGCTGCTCCTGGCAGCTCTCCTGGGAGAGATCAAAGAGGTGCTGAGCCCTTTTCGTTCCATTCATCTGCAGGCTGGTGCGGAGCATGTGCTGGAGCTGGCGAGTAAACAAACATCAAAGCGCCCTTACGAAACGCCGGATGTTGTCGGCCAAATTCAATTTTGGTAAGGCAGATCCTGTTGCTCCGGCTCTGTTGGGTGTTGCATGCCGGGGGCTGGTGGGTGCAGGAAGCTGCCAGCGGGCTGTCCCCACCTCCAGCTCGGCCAACGCAGGGGAGCAGAGGAAGCTGATCTGCAGATTACCAGATTACGAGAAGTTGCTGTCAGTCAACAGCGGTCGAGTTTTTTACCCTCCAAACTGTCAAACCCCATTTCCAGCTCTGCGGCACTTCAGGGATGTTTGTTTGTGTGTTTTCTTATCTTGGTTTGGTTTTTTTTTTTTTATTAGTTTACATGTGTTGAATTTTAGAGCTCTGTTTCTGCGTGACCTGGAGCAGCTTTTGCTTCATGCACAGAGCTGTGTCTGTTCCAGAGAAGGGGCAGCTTTCCATTTCTATAGGTGACTTTGCAAATCCCCAGGTCAGATCTGACACAACAGGACCCTCCTTTCCTTGGCTTGCTCCAGGCTTTTTTCCTAAATATCCCTATGTCCAGTGATCCCTATATCCCTTCCTCAGCTCAGCCCAGGCTCTGCTGTCCTGCTTTCCAAGCCATGGGGCTGCTAGGAGGGAATGGGGGGTCCTGGAGCCACATCCCAGCCTTGTGGAGTAACCTGCTATCACCTCTGTGTCTCTGCCTTGGTGAAGAAACTGTTGTTTTGTTTTGCTTTTTTCTTTTTTTCTTGGTGTTTTTTTTTCCTATTTCACTCAGCTGCATCTTTCATCTCCTTGAGGCTGCTCGAAGCAGGAAGCACAGCTCCGAACGCCGTCAAAGTTTAGGCCTATTTTGAGATGTGGTTTGGATCTACCCTCCTCTCTTTCTTTTCCCCTCAAGACCATCCAGGAAGCTGCCCTTACACGAACACAAACATCTCCACCACACCTCCTGCTACCCCGTGGTGTCCCCTCGCCCCTTGCGTGGCCGCTGTGCCCCCGGCACCAGCAGAGCGCTATCGCGGCCTCGCTGCGGGCCCACCCTTCCCGTAAACGCTCGCGACTGTTGCGGTGTTTCTTAGAAAACTGAGCAGGTCCCATGTGGAGCTGGGTGCTGATAGTCCCCTGGCTTCTGCCTGTGGCTGGTGATTTTGTCACCCCCGGCTCGTGCTTCAGGCACGGGACAGAGCCGGAGTGTCCCCAGCAAGATCCCGCTGCCCAGGGGCCCGTCCTGTCCATGCGCTGCGTGTTGGACTGATGCGTGTTTGCTCCCCAGTGCACTGATGCGTACACAAGTCCAAGTGCCACCAGATTTGTGTCCCAAGCCTCTCTGGAA